AATTGAAATGAATACTATTACTACTACTACTCCTGCTAGTGTAGAAGATTTGTAGCTAAGGTGAATGATTTTGATGACGTTTTGTTCTCTGAGCTGAATGGTTTGGTCGTGGAGCTTTAATCGTTCTTCTGAACGACATCATCAGCACAGACTTCAGATAGAAATGAAGTGTTCGAATTTCTCCAATATGCGTTTCACAGCTTGTCCTGCAGACCACGATGTTGATTGCTTTTTGTTGACCTAAAATTTGTTATTGTTTACTTCTCTGTTTTGGTTGTATCTTCCATTGGTTTGAATTTTGTTTTTATGCTTGTGCATAATTTTCCTGATTGGTTGATAAATTGGATCGATTTCAATACACTTGTTGACTTCTGATTGACCTGTCGTTTTTAAAATGCCCTCTGTCCAAGATTTCCACATTTTTCCAGTCAAATGCGTGTCCGCAGTTGTCCGCGTACATTAATATCATTGAGGAAATACCATGGCGTTTGACTGCTAATTGATGTTCACGCAAGCGAAGATGGAGAGGGCGTCCTCTTTTTCCGATATAGTGTTTTTCGCAGTTGGCACAATTTATTTTGTAGATGATGTTTGGTTTGTCTTCTTTTGTCATTTCGTCCTTTAGTTTGCATAGGATTAATTGTAGTGATTTTGTCGGTTTGTGTGCCACACCTATTCCGAAAGTTTTCAGCAGTCTCATTGCGGAAGTAAACAATGACAAGTTGAAGGTCAACGAAAAGCAATCAACATCGAGGTCTGCAGGACAAGCTGTGAAACGCATATTGGAGAAATTCGAACACTTCATTTCTATCTGAAGTCTGTGCTGATGATGTCGTTCAAAAGAACGATTAAAGCTTCACGATCAAACCATCCAGCTCAGAGAACAAAACTCTATCAAAAAATCTACTGCAAGTATCAGTACTATTACCATAACTAATGTTACAATGGCCTGCTTAAATATCTAGTCTACCTAATTTTCTTACCATTTAAAAATATTTACTTTAAATAACAGATCACTAATGGGCAAAGTTAGCTGAGCCCAAACATTTATCGTAATTGTAATGTAATCACGATTCGAAAATCTTAATTAAATGATTGATATGACAATAGTTTGGTACAATTACACCGTTTTGGAGAACTACGAGAGCCATCATCCAGAAGATATTAGTGTTGATTAACAGTTGTCTACGCAAAATACTTCGGATCCGTTGGCCAGACACTATCAGCGACAACCTACTGTGGGAGGGAACAAACTAGATTCCAGTGGAGGAAGAAATCAAGAAGCGCTGGAAGTGAATCGGACACACATTGAGAAAAGCACCCAACTGTGTCACAAGACAAGCCCTCACATGGAATCCTCAAGGCCAAAGAAAAAGAGGAAAACCAAAGGACACATTACGTCGAGAAACGGAAACGGACATGAAAAGAATGAACAATAATTGAATAGAACTAGAAAGGAAGACACAGGACAGCCTATGCTCCATTAGGAGTAAGTAACACTGTTTTAGGATTTGTCAGAATCATTCGGGAAGTAGGAAAATGTACTCTAATGATGTAGTCACGCTTGTAAATGTAAACTGTAGTCAATTTATTTATGTTTTGAGTTTACAAATGACTCTATCAACTACTTAACGTTGATACGTCGTTCAAGACGCTTGGACAATTACGTTTATATTTATGCTGCCAGCATTTATGCATCTCATCTTAACTAACGGTTTTCGTTAATAATTTCATGGAATTTCTTTTTACTCTATTTATTGGTTCTCTTTAAAATGGGTGTGGTGATTCTGATTCATATGATTGTAGCTTTATTTCATCTTGAGGTCATCAAAACCCAATCGATTCCCCCCCTTTTTAGTTTTCGTTAATGATGTGGAAATATACGTGACTTGTAAAAATACTCCGCTGCTTAGTTCTGATTATTGTATTATTCGTGCTCCTCCTTAAGTACGTGGCAAACTTTGAAAAAATATTCTCTCACATCAGATAAAAAGTTCAAACGTATAAAAACTACTAAGAAGAAATTATCCTAGTTCTGAAAATCATGTTTTGAACTGTAAACTGAGACTTATTCGTAAATGATTCACTGGAAGACGTATTTAATATCAGTTGTTGCCTTAAACTGTATTTTGGTGTTTGGGGTCCCATTGAGACCACTGCTGTAAGATCCCCACAATTGTTATCTAGGAGGGGAGAGGAATATTGTATAGAGAACTCTATTGATTTAAAAAGGCTAAACGGTTCAATAAGCCTGATAATCCGTCCGAGTTTGATGTATGTCCACAAACTCTTATATTCAAAGAACTCTTCCAATGTACGGAATTTATTTAAAGAGCTTACATGTAAGAAACGGATTAGTGAAGATACCCAGTTGAATGTTTGTAACTAGAATAAATCTTCTATACCTCAAGCATCTGATTTCATTCATTCTATTTTCACTTTTGCGGAAACTGGCGATACAAAATGTCGGAAGTCATGTAATTCATAACAATGTTTAGTACCTGATACCATTCCAAACCTTTTTCAGAAATGTATTGATGTTCTGTCATCCATCTACGAGCATATTTTATGAGTCTTTTCAACTAATTTTAGAAAGTGTAGCGAAAAATAAAGATAATGATAGTGCAAGAGAAAATCCAGTGATAAGAATGTAGAGTTCAAAGCCAAAACAATGAATTTACTTTCTTTAAAAACGATAGAGAAACTATTGCTGTTCCTACCTCAGCCGGCATAAAAGTAGTGCTGACCCACATCCGTTTGCTTAGAAATGCTCTGAATGCTGGTATTGTCCTGTATCAGAATATAAGGTTCAGCATAGAAAAAAGTGAGAAGTACGTTCGGTGCGCATTTATATGCCTTACTTCTGCTTCTGATTCCGTTTCATGACTTCTATCATCGAGCGCATTTCTTAGCATTAACACCAAGAACTGGATAACCGATTGGCTGTATTCTTAATTCTCTAGCAGAAAATGGCATACCATACTTAGGGGGAAGTATTCTACTTATTTATTAACTTACGCTTACACAGCATAATCAGCTGTTATTTCCCCTTTCCTTTCCTGCTTTTCTTTTTTTATAATCTATTACTTTCTACAAAAACAAATGTTAAGCATGGGAGTATTTATACTGTTTCTTCCTCCTCAAATCCCCTTGAATCGAATGAGTTCTTCAATATCACTGAACGATGGTCTACTTTTAATAGTCTCACACTTAATCCTAAATTTCAAACTGTTAAATTTGGCTTGAAACATGAAAAGGACATGATTTTACTATTACTCAACATTTGGCATTTACAAATTTTAAGTATTTGTATGATAACTACTATCGTTTACTGTTCCCTATTAAACTTTCCTAAGTTTAAGAGAAAAGATTTTACTTCATTTCAAGCAGTCAGTCAGTCAGTAACAACGTGGAACTTCGTACGTACGTACACCAGTTCGAGTTGCCATACCACATTAGCACAGAGATTCAGTTATCGATTCAAATCCCATAGTGGTAGAGGTACTGAAAGTATAAGTAGAGATAGGGGACATTAAGGTTTGATGATGTTATTAAAGGAGTATAGTCCAGTGGAATAAATTGGGAAAGAAAATAAACGACATGAAGAATTCAGAAGATTAGAGTTTGAGAGAACACAAAGAGTGGATGAACCTGCGCCATTGCAAACGATTTTGAGCCATGTCATTCAAGGTCTCTAACCATCGGTTGCTATCATCTCGCGGTCCCCAACCAGGTAGTCTACACCTACCAACATGACTCAGTCCACTTGTCAGTGACTTCATGGATTTGTGCCATGTTTTGGTCTGGCCGCCCCTAGCTTTCTTCCAACCTACTCCTACACCATAAAACATAGCACGTCAGGGCAGTCGGTGGTCGGGCATGCGCAACACATGTCCCAGCCATCTCAACTGATTAAGTTTCACTACTTCCTCAATTGATTTGCCATCCTTACCTAGTACCCGTTTCATAACAACTGCATTACTTACTCGGTGGTCCCAAGATATACGAGCGATGTTTCGAAGACACCTATTCTCAAATACTAGTAACCTACAAATATTCTCTACTCTTACCGGCCATGTTTCACAGCCACAAAGTAGGACGGTACGAACTGCTGCGCAGTAAACACATCCTTTGGTTACTAGACGGATATCTCGCCTACGCCACAAATGACGCAAGTTGGCAAAAGCTAGTCGAGCCTTTTGTATCCGTGCTGAGATTTCGTCACACACCAAACCACAAGGGCTGATGAGACTTCCGAGATAAGTGAATCGGTCGACACGCTCAACTACTTCACTCCCTATCACTAGTTCGGGTGTCGACGCAACCCAATCCTGAAGCAAAATTTTGCATTTCGAGGGAGAGAATCGCATGCCGAACATGCTTGCATTGTTGCTTAGAGTGGTCAGCAGACTCTGCATTCTGTCAGCGTCTTCACTAAATAGAACTATGTCATCGGCATATTCTAAGTCAACAAGTGGATCTCCCGGTAGAAGTTCAACTCCTGGAAATTTAGATGAGGAAAGTGTCATCTCTAAAAGCACGTCAACGACAAAGTTAAACAAGAATGGAGAGAGTGGACAGCCCTGACGAACACCACTTGAGGTAATCAATTCTGATGACAGTTCAGCATAAGCTCTCACTCGACCAGTTGTGTTCGAGTAGAGAGCCTTTATAATGTTGATGTACTTCTTTGGCACTCCCTTCAGTGACAAACACTGCCATAGAACCTCACGATCAACAGAGTCAAATGCCGCCTTAGGGTTGAGAAATACTACCATTGTGGGGCGTCTGAATGTGTGTCTATGTTCTAGGACCTGACGTAATGTGAATATTTGATCAATGCAACCACGTCCAGGTCGAAAACCAGCCTGGTTTTCTCTAGTCTGCTCTTCACAAGCTTTGGTTAGACGTCGAAGTATTATTGAAGCTAATATTTTAGACACTATATTAGTCAAACGAATTCCTCTGTGATTGTCACAGGAGGACTTTTGTCCTTTCTTATAGACTGGTACAATCAGTGATTGAGACCAGTCAGATGGGATTACGTCCAGTTCCCAGATTCTACCTAAGACCTCAGTCAATCTCGCTGCTAATACTGGACCGCCATCCTTAAAAATCTCAGGGGTAAACCTGTCAGGGCCTGCTGCTCTCCCACACTTCAGATTTCCTATAGCTTTTTCAACTTCGTAAAGAGTCGGAGGACTTACATCAACTTGCCATTCAGGTCGACTGGAGATCGTGGGAAACCGAAGTGTGGCTGAAGGCCAGTTGAACTGATCCCTAAAGTGTTCTGCCCATCGATCTAATCTCCTGGATTGAGAATGAATAATATGTCCATCTTTTTCGGAGATAGTTACTCTAACAGTTGGGTTCCTAATGCCGGTTTCTATAACAAGTCTGAACAGTTGCCTGCTGTTACCTATTGCCGCTGCCTTTTCCATCTCTCTTGCTTTCGCTACCCAACACTGTTCACGATCTTTGCGTAGGCTTCTAGTCAGCTTACGCTTAAGCTGACTCCGCTCTTCGTTATGAGTAAAACTAAACTAACCATTCCTAAGAAACTACACTGATTCAATTGTATGATACACTCACTGAGCACTAATTGCCCTATCTGATACAGGTATCAAAAAAGAACTCCATTAACAAAAAAAGATTCTAGTTTCAGATAATGAAAAAAAAAATACGGCTAATACAAAGGTTTAATATCTATCACTTTTTGTGATAAATAAGTCGAGATCTACATCCTAAAATCTTCTTTTAAAATTCAACACTATTTCCACATCAAGAGAATATTGGTTGTATGCTTTCAACAATTATACAAAGAGGAACAAATTCAGAGTGGTGAAATCAGAGAATCCGTCACTTATAAATTTAGACAAATAGTGATTAGTAGAAGTGTGATGAATTAACAATTACATCTTATATATCAACCGTTAAACACTATATTCAAAAAAAGTGGGAGACTGTTCATTAAATACGATTTCCATCATATCATAAACGTGATAAGTTGATCCACTGATAAAAACGGAGTGTTGAATAATTTTATACTTATAAATATGGACTAGTTAGTAGTGCACTTCCACAACCCCAAAAGAGAACCCGAAATCGATTGCACAGCAAAACGAATAAATTAGGTTTTAATTAAAAATAAAATACTTATACATTGTAGCATTCAGAATAAATTTTTTTCAAGAATTATTGTTTATTTATACTATTCACTTTGATTTAGTTGACGTTCTAATTGAACACGGAGAGCTGGATCAACATGACATTTAATCAAAGCATCAGCTATTGTAGAACAGCCTACTTGATTTTGCCATAAATTGAGTTCATTTCTAAGTCGATGTTTTAAATTGTTCAATGTAGAAATTCCTATTGGATAAAAATGATAAAACTGAATATTTTCATCTTCTATAAACACTTCATCTTCATCGTAAAGAACCTTCATAGAAAATAAATTAAAAGATAACTCAGTAAGAATAGAGAATGTAGGAAATGGGGAGATTCAAAGGCATATCAGCAATTCAGAATTAACTGAATACAAAAAATTATTGACAAGCTTATTGATAAGCCTTTTTTATTAATGAGGAGTTTTAAGATGATTTTTACCACTTAAAGAACGGTGGAATACAAGATAATTAACCATATGAGCTAGTGGATTATATCGTTCGCCCTCTGAGGTGAAGCTCCTCGGTTTCATTTAATGTGTGGTCGTGAATGTGTAATGTTAAAGGGTGCTAAACTGGGTCTGCATACAGCTGCTTAATCTCAAACGTTATCTATAGGTTTTTGGTTAATGCCAATTTTTGACTAGAATTACCAACAGAATTGTATTTTATAGTGACTTGTTATTAAAGGGATTTTAATCAATGATTTAAAAGGTTTATATATATTGTTGGATAATAATTCAAGTATAAATAATTATTAGGACAGAAATTAAGATGAAATATTAGGAGCACTATCAAAACTTTGATATAGTGAGAAGATACATAAAGACAAGGCACGAAGCTAACAAAAATTGTTTAATATAAAACCAACGATAATAATGATTCTCATTTTAGACTAGTACCTACTTTTAGGATACTCCATACTACTTATTATTAAAGAGTAGTTTGAGTTATATTCAACTATTTTTAGCATTTATTAATCTGTGGAACCTATAGTAGCAACTTCACTATATTACACTCTGATTCTGATGTTGGAATTCACTCACCTACTTGTCAAAGCATCTCATCATTGTTTTATAATGTTTCTCGTGTGAATTAATAATTGAATATTAGTTTATGTTGAGCTATGAGTTGATTCCCGAAACATAACAGTAAACTCATTTTGCTAATCTTCCAACGCTTTTCTTTTGTATGCTTTTCAAGATACGATTATCACCATGATATCTCACGACTGGAATTTTGTGAATACTTAAAATTTGTTCAGTCTCACTGAAATTTATCATACGTCCATAAAATTCTTGACTTATCTTTTCCGGATTAAAATCTTTGAACGGATTCTATGAGAACATTTACTTTACAAAATACATGTGTTTAATGATGAGGATATTTTCAGCATAAAACATAGAAGGATACTGAACAAAAACCGCCCACAAACAAATACAATAGCGTTAAAATTGAGTGTAGCGTAGAATATATATGCAGATAATTACAAACCTGTATAATAAGATTGATGACTGGTTCAAGCCATTGAGCATGCCAACTATCATTTACAGCCAAATCTTCCAAATATTTCACATCAAGTAGTTGGTGATCATTAATAGTGTATGACTGAATACCTTGTCTAAAACAAGTGATAGCAGCAACGGCTATACACCGTCGATCAATATAACTAGACAAAGAATCCACACGTCCTAACCACCGACCAATTGGTGAACTTAACAAGTTTCTTAATTCATCCAAAGTAGAACAACATTGTTGACCGATTGAATTATGATATCCTTGTAGCAATGAATGTAAATTAGGAGGGTTGTTATTATCAGAAAATTTACGAACTAACTGTAATGTATAAGTAAAGCAAGACCTGAAAGATGGATGATAGAAGTCAGTTTCAATAGTACTAGTGTAAAATGTAAGGTAAAACAATAACTGTTGTTATATGTGGTTTATTTCCTAAATTAAATGTAATAAGCAGAATGATTACAATAAATTATTGATAACCAAGAGATCATTTCTGTTATAACGCTTAGTATCCGAGACTGATACTGATACACAAACTTCATATATGAAAACCACAAACTGGGTACTGAGTAAGGAGACCAATGATAAAGGAAAAAATTTATCAGGCTTAAGCGAATCAAATACATGAGCACTCATTTATACATATATATGTCTTAGACAAAGAAAACATGAACTTATAATCAGAGATCTTTGATTAGCACATAATGACCTCATTTTAAAATTTTCGATTGCCCAACTATATCAATATATATATATATATATATATATATATATATATATATATATATATATATATATATATATACTCTGCCCCCAAATGCCCTGGTATGGCCGAGAGAGGGGAGGGTTCGCGCTCCCTCTCGAAATACTCTCACACGGCCATGCGTATACAGCCTCTGCCAGGGAAGTCCTACTCACTGCCTTCTCGTGGCGGGGGTGTTGTTTACGAAAATGAGAGGACGAAAAGCGAATGTCCGGCGCTATAACCGGATCCCAATTCAATGGTGCACATGGGCTCCAATATCCTGCGGGAACAAATGGCGTATGAACCAACTTTTGGTCACCGGCTACCATGAGACTGCATCTCCTCACGATGCTCCACTGCCTTGTGGACTAGACCCTTAGGTCAAAGGCTCGGGGTGTGGCCCCCTAAGAAAACCACCTGCTTCGGTTTGGGCACCCGGGCAGTATCTCAGCCCACGCACTAAAACCATGATGAACTATTTGCTTATGGAAAATATTCCTTTCTATCTGATTAACATTGAAATGACTCGTACTATTATTATTATTATTTTACCACGTCATTTATTCACTCTCTTATTCCTACTTTATGTATCCGTATCGACCTAGACAGCAGCTCACCTATGGTGAAAATTCAGCTTTATCTAAACGTTCTCGAGTCACTGCCTGGTTGAAAATTGTGTGCTACCACCGAATATGAGTACTGAAGCAGTTTTTCTGAAACCACGTACACCATTCAAACTGGCTGCCTTCAACGTCCACACACTTATGCAGGTCGAACAACAGATAGGGCTGGCTATGTCTTTGGAAAGTCTTAATATTGATGGGTGTTGTCTATCCCAGACCCGTATTCAAGACTCTAGTGAAGTACTACAAGTTCGCTCTCCATCTGTCACTTCAAAAAGCTTGTTTTATGAGCGCTTATCCGGGGACCCTGTGGCATCTTCGTCTGGTCTTGCTGGCGTTGGTGTCGCACTAAGCGCTAGAGTTGAGGCAGCACTAGTCGACTGGATCCCCATTAACAGTCGGTTATGTGTTGTTAGATTAGAAAGTTCCATCAAAGTGAGAAGAAATAGGTGTGAGAAACGATGTCTTTTCGTCATCTCCGTCTATGCCCCGACAGATTGCAACCCGGGTGCAATCAAGGATGAGTTCTACCACCAGTTAACTGTTCTTCTACAGAAAGTGCGTTCGACAGATAATGTAGTACTAGCCGGAGACTTGAATGCTCAGGTCGGGCGTCTAGGCACAGAAAAGAGTCGTTTAGGTGGCCGATGGGGACTTGTTGGTCGCAGGACAGATAACGGGGAACGTCTACTGCAACTATGCACAGACCACAACCTGTTTCTGGCTAGCACTAACTTTCGACACAGTCATCGCCGATGTGCCACCTGGCGTCCCCCTTCTACATCTCAAGCCTGGATACAGATTGATCACATCGCGATCAGCTACCGCTGGCATGGTTGTGCACAAGACTGCCGCTCCTTTTGGGGGACCTATCTGGAATCTGATCATGCCCTGGTCTGCGCCAATCTTACCTTACTTTTCAGTGGACAACGGAGTGACCGCCACCAAAGGATTGATGTTAGCAAGCTGGCTGCAACTTCTGTTGCTAGTAAATATATATATATATATATATATATATATATATATATATATATATATATATATATGTACTCTAGCGTCTGATCTAATGATTATTCATTAAGAGGTTACTCCATAAAATATCAATTCTTTGAAGATACTTATAGCAAAATACTTAAACCATATACACACAACATGTTGTCATACATCACGTTTTAAAATCTAAAACACCAGGCACTGTTTTAAAAACTCTTAACAAAAAACTTACCACATATTAGGATATAATACTAATCGCGAAAGAAGTTCTAGTCGAAGTTCCGTAGCTTTTGGTGTAACATCAGAATGTGCATCTTCAGGAGCACGAATCAAGCAATATTTTGCAGCTAGAAAAATTAAACCAATTGCACTGGATGGTAAAGATGTAAACTTTTGTTGAGAATATTGGATGTCCAAATAAATTGTAAGCCATAAAATGAATAGTTTAAGTTGACTTAATCTTTTAAAATTGAACATAAAATAAAGAATATAAACAATGAGTAATAAAAATGAATTATATGAAAGTGTATCATTGAAGAACTAATAATCTGAGTTTGTATATCACCCAAAATAACAAGAAATTATTAATTTATTTGAACACACAAACATTGGCACAAGGAGGGACCAGATACATATGCGCCACACATATATCAATTGATATGTGTGAGGGCTGTGATACTGCTCGGGTGCCCAAACCGAAGCAGGTGGTTTTCTTAGGGGGCCACACCCGGAGCCTTCGACCTAAAGGTCTGATCCACAAGGCAGTGGAGCATCGTAAGGAGATGCAGTCATATGGTAACCGGTGACCAACGATTGGTTTGTACGCCATTTGTTCCCGCAGGATACTGGAGCCCATGCGCACCATTGTTTTGGAATCAAGGTTTTCCAACTCCTCTAGGTGGACTCTCCGTGTCCACCAACCCGGTCAAAGCACCGGACATTCGCTTTCCGTCCTCTCAATTTTGTAAACAACACCCCCGCCACGAGAAGGCAGTGAGTAGGACTTCCCTGGCAGAGGCTATATACGCGTGGCCATGTGAGAGCATTTGGAGAGGGAGAGCTGACTCTCCCCACTCTCGACCGTACCAGGGCATTTGGGGGCACAGTAAATATGGCAGTTTGTGAAAATGTTTAATTTATAAGTATTTTCTATTGCTTATGAATAAAATATGAACGCTACAAAAACCACAAGATCATGATATTAATATATAACTTATATTTATTTCATGTAATATGAATGAAAGATAAGTAACATTTGCACAATAACTACCTTATGCATAATTCATTATACGATTGAATCTTCAGCTCTTTGTTTAATAAAGATGATAAGTGTGTTAAATAAGAGTAAATGGTAAATTATTGATATTTGATTTAGAAAAAAAATTATCCACGCTTTATGATGTTAGTGTGAGCCACTAGAGTGAAAGGTATCTTCTTATGGACAGAATAGTTAAAATATAACAAAATGTTTAAAGTTGAAAATTGACTTTTCCATTCAGATACTATGTAAATAATAATTTTCTGTTACCAATGACTAGAGTAATGTATCTAATTTCAATTTGATTAGTACTTCCTGATAATGAGGCGAAGCACCGATCCGATTCGATCTTCACCAATATACTGGGAAAGCCGATTTCGTCTAAGACTAAAGAACCACAGACAGAAATTTATGAAACCTTTGGTCAATCGAAACTAATACTCTCTTCAAAACTGAATGTGTGTAAAGGTTTTCATTATTTTTAAAAATAATCATTAATTCCACCAGTTAAGAGCTTAAAAATCTTTCAAACCAGTGATCCATAAGATCAACATTTTCATTGTTACATGGAATCGATATCAATATTCGATAAGAAAAACGAATACAGTATGTACTCCAGTGTAACGTTTTCTTTGTGTAAGTATGCTATGGGTGATAATTTGCTTGTGAAAAATGGTCAATTTCCATACGCACTGTGGTGGTAAGTGCTCTATTGGCGTCGGGATCCAGTGGTTGTTCATATGTTCAGCATCAGATTAAATTTTCGACATTACAGAGTTTTATCTACAAAACCAACTATCTACATCAAATTTATGCATATGCCGCTGCAATAACGGAACTTTATAACGTTATATGTATATACATCGTATATGTGACCTTTTCGATGATCAATTCCCTAAGTGACTTACTAAATGACACATTGCATACGTAATTATCAGTAGAATTTATATACCTGCATTTCGACTCTTCATCTGTTTTATTTTCATCATTAATGCATGAAGAAGCTTGAGAATAAAGATCCTCTAAATTTACTTGTTCCCCAAGTGAATTGTTCCAATTCAAACTGACAATCAAAATAGATATCCAAAAGGGTTCGGACCACTGGCATATAAAGTTGTGTAAAATATCATTACCAGCTTTGTGAGCTAGCCTTAAAGTACCGTAAGCAATACGGAAAACTAGCTATAATGTTATAAGAAAGTGAAAACAGTCATAAAACACTGGATTCCTAAAGAAAAATACATCTAATCAAACAACAAAGTTGCAAAGAATAATTAAAATATTGACTGTTACACTTTTAGTCTAAATCCACTCAGTACCAAAACGTCAACATTTTTTCTAACGATGCCAAACAAAATGAAGAAACTTATCAATGATGATTGATATATACAACAAGTGTGACATTATTCAAAATTACCTATCACATCGCCATACTTGAGTTAACTAGAAGCTATTATTCAAGCATATCACTGTTCAGAGTCAATCGTCGGCTCTCTCTCTCTCTCTCTCTCTCTCTCTCTATATATATATATATATATATATATATATATATAGCTAATTATCTTATTCATTAAGAATTTAAATTTGATCAAAATACATTTCAATTTATTTGATAAACAACCAAATGTATTTGAACACGAAATTACAGAATCTCTTAGTAAAATCCGAGAACCATACAGTAAATACATAGTTTTCAAAACGTCCATCAGTTGTTTTTATTGCTTCTTCGTTTCCATACCAATCACTCTCTGTTCTCGTTCTCTTCTCTTCGATCTCAACCTTCTGCCGCCAGGCATTCCACTTTCGATTGGTGATATATACTACTTATATCTGTTGACATCAGTAGCACACAATACAACACTAGACTACTGATAATTTCACTACTTTTAAAAAATGATGCAACATTCCAGAGCACTAAGCGATTATGTTATGCATGAAAACTCCAATAGAAAGTGGGCTGTTGTTTCGACTTAATCCTAATGATGAAGGTTGGAACACCAGAGGTTAGGAATTAAATTTAAATCAAAACCTTTTGATTTGTTTTCACAATTTTCATTCATTTTTCTGAAAAATCCACTCAAAGAAAAGGAAAAAATACCATTACAAACTATGATTAATTCAGTAATACATTTGTGCACTACTCTTGTTATTCACAACTCCGAATTTAATACGATGAACGATATACATATACAATTTCAAAAATGATAGCTTAATTCATACTAACTAACTTACATCAGCCTGTTCACCCGAATCTACGCGACCTAGTAATGGCTGTTTCAACGAAGTACTGACCGACAGGTCTCCACCAGCTTGCATTAAATGTACACTATCTCCAACTAATATAGGCATTAAATTAATTAAATCTGGTGACCATGCTGAATTAAGACCTTCAACTAAACTTGCCCATAAACGAACAGCTGGTTCAAATAAAGCTTCTGAACCATTTATTTGATTTTCTTCTGCTTGATATAATGACATTTGAATTAAATCAATTACAGAACTGTGTATTAATGTATTGAACTCAGGGAGAAGTGAAGAACATTCATTGAATCCATTAAATTCAGTAACCAGAAGACAGACAGTGTTTAGAATACTAGCTCGTAGTGCAGCACTTAGACCACCTATTAAGGTGTCAAAATAAATTAACATTAAACAACGAAATAAATAAGAAAAATAACATGCAAATTATTATCAGTCACTCAATAGGAAAGTTCATCTTGGTATGGCTAAAATACAAAATAAATATTATAGTTAATAAAAATATTTTAGATCGAGTGTTTACTTTTAACTAACTTCTTGATCACAACTGTAACTAAATAAACACGATGATCCAGTTAGTTTACCATGATAACCTAACTGAACAAAACTGACTAGAAAACTTATTACACAGGATCCTATAATGAGAGTCTGAATGTCTGCAAAAAGGTATGATAAAAAGCAGTACATTCTAAGTATTTCTGACTATAACAGGGTGAACCCGCTACGTTTCTGTCAACACCTACAATTTTGTAGATAAGTGTAAAGTGTGCCAATTTAACGAAGAGAGGGTAAACTGTGCAACAGGCTACTGTGTACTACTGTATGAATATGAAATGTGGTTTATCAAACCAATAGACATGTATCGGTTATAAGCAACCAATATGTATCTGTGAATAACTGCTCGCAAGTCGCAGAACCACTGAGTGACCGATGATGACCTTAAATGTACAAAGCTGGCAAAATGTGATTTATAGGTTTGTGAAGTTGAAAACCTTTGTCTGGTGACATGATCAGGGTATGCGTCACCTATTATCACTTGCCATTGATCCCGAGCCAAAGTCAAGACGTTAAAATGTCATCGACCCACCAGGTCATTGACTGTCCATCTGCATTGTGTGCATAGAAAACATGAGAATTTATCTCATATATATATGATCGAAGTTCCAAAAGTCATTGCTGACTACAGTACGTAATACCTAAATACTTGGACAGGCCAACAATGTTTCTTTATATTAGTTTTTAGATAGATTTTTGCCAGATAGATAAATCAGTATCTATAAAACTCAAAGAATAATCTGTATAAAATAATAAAGATAATACTGTAGTTGAGCCAGTGACAAACATTGTCTAACATAACAGAAAACAGTACCGACAAGACAATTCGTAAATTAGATATCAAAAGAAATCAACAAACGTGAAAGAGAAAAAAACTGAGCAGGTACACCTTTGTATTAATTCCTCATACTTTCTGATCATTATGGAATGCCATAGAATATACAACAGAATTGGAACTAACACGGTGTAGTATGTTGCCATTATGATGTTGAAAACTCACACATTATAAATAAATAATATAATTGTAATATCCCAGTGAGTAGAAAAATTAGATTTTCTGACGTTTCGTGACTTAATGTAAGCCGCTTCTTCAGAAAATAAATAACCAAATCAAAATTAATCCAAGTTTAAATAGTACAACAGAACAACATATTATGTTCCAATCTGTTACATTATAATTGACTATAAACTATCAATACATTAAATTAAAAATTGATCCTACATATTACGAAGTTAATATAATATATAAATGATTATATATTGACTTACTAAAACTCCATAAATGATTCAAAGTGTTTAGAATAGGAGTAATGAATTGAGGATAAGCAATTAAATCAATTTTATGAATTAATTTTCCTAATAAAGTAAGCATATAGATTTGTGTTTCACATTCTTTAACATCCTAAATGTATATACGTAAGGAGATAAGAAAAACGGTATGAAGTTTTATGGATATTTAGAAAGTTCTCAGTGTTGTTTATAACTTTCAAAAGTTTATATTTGTATTTATATAAATCAATTCATATGCAATATCTAATTAACGCAAATAAAATCTCTTAATTTTAACAGAAGTCGAAAAAAAGTTAAGCCTTTGCTGGTTAGTCAATGCTTATGAGAAAATCTAGATAACTCCCTGATGCAACGATTATATATCATTTTGATCAAAGTAGACCAGTGTATAAATCACTGTTTATAATGACAATCCAAAATTTAAAGCTTGTTAGCAATTGTTTAAACAGAATGTCGATAAATCCACTGTCTAGGGATTTTGAACACAACATAGCACTATTGGTCACTGTTAAGCACCATATAACGGGTTTTATATGAGTTTATGTTGTTAGTAGATTGTTAAGAGAAATTAAGACGGGCTTTTAGAACGCTTTGTTATTAACTAATGCCACACAACAGCCAAATAAATGTTCGCCCAGAGTTACATCAACTTACTGAGAGATATGAATATCATTCAGTTTCATAACCGCTTGTTGATGAACTACCGAATGAGTCGAAACTGAACAATTGAACCAAATTCACAGTTTGACACGTTCGAGACAAAAAATACTTTGTCGCATCGAAAAAACCTCACTTTAACAGGTGAATTAAGTAAACTTACAACACAGCAACCAATGGATATCAGTTTAGTAACCTTAGGGTAGAATGATTAAAGATTCTAGGGTTATTTCCGAAAGGAGTTGAAAAAAAAGAGAAACACTGAAGATTTAAAAGGTCAGAATGAAGTTGCTTGGCGCTCCTTCATTTCCAATTGTCGGTTAAATCATTAAGACTGTAAAAGTACCAAACTGGACAAAATTATTGTCTGTTGAAGAATCCAACATATCACAGGCTTAACCTAGCACAAGCCAACACGAGCTTTGCTATATACTGCATAAACATATCCTCATCAACCAGTTTGATAAAATAAATTTCGGATCTTAAATAACTGGAAACGATGAATTCAGTCACAATGTAAAACAATCCAAGATGAAAGCTCAAGGAAGATATTGATTCAAAAGTTTCAGATAAACGCTAACAACTGGAGTACGTGCCTCTGTATTATGGTCATTTATTACGGAACTAATGCCAGCTCCCTTCTAGGATGGCTCTGACTGCCACACATGACGGTAGGAGTTTAAATTCCACAGAGATCACCGATTCCGAATGCTAAAGAGATCTAATTAGCATGAAACTTGAGTTTAAGGCTTCCTACCGATTACCACTAAACAACTAACACTGAAGATTCTTCAGCATTATTTTTATCGTTGTTGATAGATATTCAGATCGTCGGTGGAACTATTACAACTGTCGAATTTAATTGAAACTAAAATAATTATGACTGAAAAAGAAAATCTTTGCAGCGCGTCCAATTTCACACATAAAAATTATAATACGTCTACAGATAATTGGTGTATTCATTTGTCTACTCAATCCGAAGATCTGAGAATATATAAAAGAAATTTATAACAAAATCTTTCTTACCTGGATTAGAAAAAGAGTACCATTTAGTAAATTTTCAGCATGTAACACCAAAATATCCTCAGGAAATACTGATACTTCCAGAAGCCATGTAAGACTGTATGCAGCTGCTAGTCTGATGCACACCATTAATTGCTTTTGGAAAACATTCTGATCCCAATTAGATGGACGATTCAAAAATCGATTGATGTGTGAAAGAGCATCATTACAGTTGGGTTTCAGTGATGAGCTACTCATGATTTCAATAAAATATGTAAAAATATATTTAGAGAAAATAAACCAGTAAGTTTCACAACGAATATGTTATCAGTCTAATATTCTTTCGTAGTGTACCCATACTAATAGGCTATATTGTTTTCCTTGATAAAACAGATTGGGTGATGGCAAATTGATGCAGACTACATATCAACCCTCATACAAATACAGTCCATTCATAATAATAAAGTAATATGATGACTGAGTAACTTTTACAACACTGAAAACTAAGGAAACAACATTCTATAGTTCTATGATGTAAAATATGTTATACAGTTAAAAATATAGAAAGAAACTTAACTTTTATTGGTTATACAAACATCTGACGTATCAACGATGTTTAACGTGGTGTCCAATGATTTATTTAACCGACTAACTTCATATGTTCTCACAGATTTACTAACTCTAGCCAAGAGGGCAGTGCTTTTTGATACAACTCTAGCTAACAGTCAAAACTTCACAAATTAGTCACATGTCTTAGAGTAAATATTGAAGGTTCTTATTAGCCTACGGTTTGCCCACTGTTAATAAAAAGTCATAGTATACAGTGGTTCGGAATTGGCGAAACATTGCTCTAACATTGATCAGTGCAGATTCATAGCACGATTAGATGGATTAATGTTATTGTCTACATCTTTAGGCCAGTATACATATATAATGAAAATATTGCTTTATTCTTCTGAAACTTCTATAATAAACATTATTAACATACTTACAACTCAACATCTCCTGGTGCGATACACTGTACACTGTAACGCGATAAAAGAGATAGAGTTCGAGTTAGAATCGTAACAGAAGTAATTTCATTTTCCACAGGTTGTGACCCTGTGCGATCTTGTATGGAATTTCCTACTACCAAGCCATCAGCTATAAGCTGTTCCGCTAAAGTGATCCAATTAGCTTTTGTTCCAAAATATGGTAAACATAGTTGTACAAATCTCATAATAGCTTCGAAGATATATGGTTTATTTGTTCCAGGATTAACTGACTAAAAGAAAAAAATAATCTGTTTATAAAAACCAAATAATATGAGTATCAGACATTCAATTTAGTAAACCGCTCACAAATTGTGGAATAAAATATACAAAAGAAAACTATATTTAACATTATTAACATAACCACTAAAGGACTATGAAATAGACAACGAAAATCTAAAGAGTTTTGATCTTTATCTTACGTTTTACCAACAGTAGCGCGTCAGAAAAGTATTTTATCAATTCGACTGAGTGAGTGATCGATATATTTAGTTTTGAAGATAGTCAGTCAGACACAAAGTAGAGCAAGGTATGTATGTAAATCGATTCAGGTTCCCATAACTCATTAGCTAACAGAAATGAAATTGTCAGTCATAATACCAGAATAGTAGATGTAGCAACAGGATCAGTGGTAATGAGAAAGATTACGCATCGAAGATACAATTCGAGAAGAAAAGATAGATTAGTAGAAACAAAACACGAAAATAGTTATGAGGAATTCGGAATCTCACAATTCGAAGAAGGACAAAGAACGGATGCACTTGCACCATTACAACCGATTTTGAGCCACGTCATTCAAAGTCTCTAACCATTGGTTATGATAATCACATGGACCCTAACCAGGTAGTCTACACCTATTGACATGGCTGAGTCCAATTGTCAGTGACTTTATGAACTGATGCCATGTTTTATTTAGGCAGTCCCTAGCATTCCTACAGCCTACTCTTACACCAGAACACGTTGCCCGTCGAGGTAGACGGTGATTGGGCATAAATAACACATGTTCCGAACACCTCAGTTAATGAAGATTGACTACCTCATCAATCAACTTACCATCTTTACCTAGCACCCTATTCCTAACTCAGGCATAGTATACTCAGTGGTTCCGAAATACACGAGCAATGCTTCGAATACACCTATGACAGAATGCTAGTGACCTACGAATATCCTCTATTCTTAATGGCCATGTTTCACGTCCATAAAGTAGAACTGCTGTGCAGTAAACTCGTCCTTTAGTTGGCAGATGGTTATCTCGTCTGCATCGGCTAAGAAAAATACAACTAGAATTGATCTTTTCAGTTAACAAAGTTCCTATCACTTATATGAAGAAATTAAAAGAAAATTATAATAGGACCACTGTTCGATGCTCGTAGAAGTGTCAGGACGACTGTCTTTTCTCGGTTTCCCACACCTTGAAAGAACATTTTTCCTGAGGGACTTGAAAAAGTGGTTGAATTAATGGTGGTCTTAGCAACATGCGAGGGATAACTGCTTGGTGTCTGTTGCATACGTCTTTTCTAGGGGAAGTTTTTGATGTGTTGGCTATGCACTTTTAAAAGCTTTACCGCCGGAGACGGAGATCCGTGGGGTAAGGTGAGGTGTGAAATTTTTAGGGTCGACCTCTTTTGACCCCTTCCATTTTTACAGATCCTGGTCGCTTGAGGGGAACGACTTATTGCTGTCATACTATTCTACTGTTAGCAGTACTACTTCGACCTCGGGCCTTAAGTTGTTGTCTTTAGTCTTACTGTTCTTCAATAGACCTGTCTGGTATGGTAGGACATAAAGGAACTTTTGTTTCAGCCAATGTAGCTCGGTTGAGTCATCACAACAGACAAGCCCGACCACCACGTCAAGGTAGCAGCTACGGTCGGGAGTTTTGAGAAAATTGTTCATTGCTGAGCTAAAATCAAACAAGCGCAGGTTTATCTAACTGTATTGTTTGATAAAGAATTAAGACTGTAAGAAGGAAAATTATTAATGATCTTATGTCTTAATAAAAACCGCTTACTATACAGTCAGTCAGTCAGCTGCAACGTAGGACCAGGCATGTATATGCATCGGTCCAAGTTGCCATACCGCATTAGCACAAGATGAACACCGGATTCATAGGAGTAGTTAATTCAGTGGTGGTAATATATAGAAGAAAGATTGTGTATAAGGAGATAGTAAAGGAAGAAAGAATTAGTTCCTATACATATATGCAGCGATTTTAATCTCTTAATTTAAGGAAGACAGAGAGTGTATACACCGACGCCATTGTGATCGATTCCGAGCCATGTCACCAAGAGTCTCCAACCATTGGTTACGATAGTCACGCGGACCCCAACCAGGCAGTCTGAATCTCCCAACATGGCTCAGACCAGAAGTTAGTGACTTCAAGCACTGATGCCACGTCTTGGTTTGGCCGCCCCTAACTTTCTTCCAATTATCCCCTGCACTAGTCAGCATTGCGCGTCGTGGTAATCGGTGTTCAGGCATACGCAACACGTGGCCCAACCATCTCAGTCGATGAAGATTCATAACCTCATCAACTGATTTACCATCATTCCCTAATACCCTGCGTCTAACCTCACTATTACTTACCCGGTGATCCCAGCAGATACCCGCAATGTTTCTAAGGCACCTGTGGTCAAATACTAGTAACTTACGAATATCCTCCACTCTTAAAGGCCATGTTTCGCAGCCGTATAGAAGGACGGAACGAACTGCCGCGCAGTATACTCGTCCCTTAATTGATAGACGGATATCTCGCCTTCGCCATAGATGACGTAAGTTGGCAAAGGCCAAGCGAGCTTTTCGAATCCGTGCTGAGATTTCGTCAGACACCAACCCATTAGGGCTGATCAGACTTCCAAGATAAGTGAAGCTGTCAACGCGTTCGACTACTTCACCCCCTATCCTTAGTTCAGGTGTTGATGCAGACCAGTCCTGAAGCAACAACTTGCATTTAGAGGGAGAAAAGCGCATCCCAAACATTCTAGCATTGTTGCTCAGTGCTACCAAAAGACTCTGCATTTCATCAGCGTCTTCACCAAACAGGACTATGTCATCTGCGTATTCTAAGTCAATAAGTGGACCTCCTGGTAGGAGATCACTACCCGAGAAGTCAGTCGATGAGAGCGTTATTTCCATCAGGATGTCTATGATAAAGTTAAACAAAAATGGAGAAAGTGGACAGCCTTGACGGACGCCACTTGAGGTTGCAAAAGCAGATGACAGTTCGCCATAGGCTCTGACCCGACTAGTAGTGTTCGAGTAAAGAGCCTTCACAAGGTTTATGTACTTCTGAGGTACGCCTTTCAATGACAGACACTGCCATAGAACCTCTCGGTCAACAGAGTCAAACGCTGCTTTTAAGTCAAGGAATACCACCATTGTCGGACGCCGATAAGTATGCCTTCTGGAGGTACCTGAAAAGGAAATTGGATTAAAGGTGGTCATAGTGACCTGAGAGCGTGACCGCAGTGCCCAAGGGACAGCTGCTTGAGGTCGGTCACACACGACCTTTCTATGAGTGATTTTTGTGTTAGCTCCGTACTTGTTGAGACCTTACCGCCGGAGACGGATATCCGTGGGATAAGGCGAGGTGTGCATTTTTAGGGTCGACCTTTTCTAACCCCACCCCTCCTTGTGGGAAGGCAGCATCGCTGTCATGCTGGTTGTCTGAAGGAAACACCTTACTGCTGTCACACCTCTGTACAGTCAGCAGTACGACTTCGCCTTCGGACCTTGGTTTTGTTGCTTTTAGTCTTACCGCTCTTCAACCGACCTGTCTGGCATGGTAGGACCTTGAGGAACGGTTGTTCCAGCCAGTATAGCTCAGTTGCTTCATCACGATAGGCAAGCCCGACCACCACGTCAAGGTAGCAACAACGGTCAGGGCTTACTATACGATTACGAAAAGCGTGGTTCATATCATTACCAATTGTATCGGGATTACCAGTTAGGTATCTACAGTCGGTTATTAATTGGTTTAGTGTTTGATAGCTGAATTATACTAACTAGATATAAAACCATTGCACTTCGAGTGCACCAACAGTCTCATTATAGAAGAATAGTTCAAACTCAGTACATACAAGTCAACTTCGATAAATTATAAGAGAACTGTAAAATCGGTTCTTAATTTCTTCTGAGAGCGTCCACCCCAAAACTGGTTCAGGTTCCCCCACTCTACGATAGTACATGTAAAGAAGATCAATTAAAACAGAAATATCTAACTGGATGAATAAGGGAGATATATAGACATTTAGAGTAATAAGACGTTCAGAATGTTCAGGAAAGACCATAATGATTATATGAATTTACACTTCTCACCTGAACTATCTCATATAACACTGGGTCTGCCTCCTCATATAATCGGCAGAATATTGTAAAGATGAGTTCTGTTAATTGACGACAAGGCTGAGGTGTTAGCATGTGTTGGGAACTATCAGAAATACCCATTATTGTTTCAATGTTACATACACACAATTCACTGGCTTGATTATCTACGTTCCAAATAGAATTTAAATCAGCACAGACTGAATTAGCTTTAGCGTCGTGTCCTACACTGATACTGGAAATGCCACCCGAAGATAAACAACCCTCTGGATCACTTGTGAAAAACTGTAACTCGTTTGGAGTAAGTACAAACCAATGTTCAAAAAGTGACATCATGAAGTACGTCCATTTGTTGCTGATTTGTCCACTGGGTAACTGGTAAGGCTGAGACATCCATAATGCTAGCTGAAATACACATTCATTGAATAACGGAGTTACTTGAAAATGATAAAAACATCTCCAGAGTGAACTTTGGAGTATACAAGACAGTTTTCATAAAAGTCTGCTGACTGATCAATTGATAAAAAATGGGTATTAAAAGCAAGTAATATTTCGATAAGGACGACCAAGTATATATGAAATGTCAGTCAATCACCATCAACGCATAGATATCGATTGACCCCAGTTGCCACAGTATATTAGCATGACGAAATGAAAAATAACAAGATGAGTTACGAAACATAAACAATACAACAACAATGTCAGTGAGAGTCTGAGTATTGCTGCAAAGAGACAATGAGAAGGTTTGCATAAATGGACGCTAGTAATGTCAGTAACAACGTGGAACTTCGTACGTACGTACACCAGTTCGAGTTGCCATACCACATTAGCACAGAGATTCAGTTATCGATTCAAATCCCATAGTGGTAGAGGTACTGAAAGTATAAGTAGAGATAGGGGACATTAAGGTTTGATGATGTTATTAAAGGAGTATAGTCCAGTGGAATAAATTGGGAAAGAAAATAAACGACATGAAGAATTCAGAAGATTAGAGTTTGAGAGAACACAAAGAGTGGATGCACCTACGCCATTGCAAACGATTTTGAGCCATGTCATTCAAGGTCTCTAACCATCGGTTGCTATCGTCTCGCGGTCCCCAACCAGGTAGTCTACACCTACCAACATGACTCAGTCCACTTGTCAGTGACTTCATGGATTTGTGCCATGTTTTGGTCTGGCCGCCCCTAGCTTTCTTCCAACCTACTCCTACACCATAAAACATAGCACGTCGGGGCAGTCGGTGGTCGGGCATGCGCAACACATGTCCCAGCCATCTCAAATGATTGAGTTTCACTACTTCATCAATTGATTTGCCATCCTTACCTAGTACCCGTTTCCTAACAACTGAGTTACTTACTCGGTGGTCCCAGGATATACGAGCAATGTTTCGAAGACACCTATGATCAAATACTAGTAACCTACGAATATCCTCTACTCTTATCGGCCATGTTTCACTGCCATAAAGTAGGACGGAACGAACTGCTGCGCAGTAAATACGTCCTTTGGTTGATAGACGGATATCTCGCCTACGCCACAAATGACGCAAGTTGGCAAAAGCTAGTCGAGCCTTTTGTATCCGTGCTGAGATTTCGCCACACACCAAACCACAAGGGCTGATGAGACTTCCGAGATAAGTGAAGCGGTCGACACGCTCAACTACTTCACTCCCTATCACTAGTTCGGGTGTCGACGCAACCCAATCCTGAAGCAAAATTTTGCATTTCGAGGGAGAGAATCGCATGCCGAACAGGCTTGCATTGTTGCTTAGAGTGGTCAGCAGACTCTGCATTCTGTCAGCGTCTTCACCAAATAGAACTATGTCATCGGCATATTCTAAGTCAACAAGTGGATCTCCCGGTAGAAGTTCAACTCCCGGAAATTTAGATGAGGAAAGTGTCATCTCTAAAAGCACGTCAACGACAAAGTTAAACAAGAATGGAGAGAGTGGACAGCCCTGACGAACACCACTTGAGGTAATCAATTCTGATGACAGTTCAGCATAAGCTCTCACTCGACCAGTTGTGTTCGAGTAGAGAGCCTTTATAAGGTTGACGTACTTCATTGGTACTCCCTTCAGTGACAAACATTGCCATAGAACCTTACGATCAACAGAGTCAAATGCCGCCTTAAGGTCGAGAAATACTACCATTGTGGGACGTCTGAATGTGTGTCTATGTTCTAGGACCTGACGTAATGTGAATATTTGATCAATGCAACCACGTCCAGGTCGAAAACCAGCCTGGTTTTCTCTAGTCTGCTCTTCACGAGCTTTGGTTAGACGTCGAAGTATTATTGAAGCTAATATTTTAGACACTATATTAGTCAAACGAATTCTTCTGTGATTGTCACAGGAGGACTTTTGTCCTTTCTTATAGACTGGTACAATCAGTGATTGAGACCAGTCAGATGGGATTACGTCCAGTTCCCAGATTCTACCTAAGACCTCAGTCAATCTCGCTGCTAATACTGGACCGCCATCCTTAAAAATCTCAGGGGTAAACCTGTCAGGGCCTGCTGCTCTCCCACGCTTCAGATTTCCTATAGCTTTTTCAACTTCGTAAAGAGTCGGAGGACTTACATCAACTTGCCATTCAGGTCGACTGGGGATCGTGGGAAACCGAAGTGTGGCTGAAGGCCAGTTGAACTGATCCCTAAAGTATTCTGCCCATCGATCCAATCTCCTGGATTGAGAATGAATAATATGTCCATCTTTCTCTGCGATTGTTTCGCTAACAGTTGGGTTCCTAATGCCGGTTTCCCTAACAAGTCTGAACAGTTGCCTGCTGTTACCTATTGCCGCTGCCTTTTCCATCTCTCTTGCTTTCGCTACCCAACACTGTTCACGATCTTTGCGTAGGCTTCTAGTGAGCTTACGCTTAAGCTGACTCCGCTCTTCGTTATGTTCAGAGCCAGATGGAATGAGTTTTCGAGCATCTATCAGTGCGGTAGATGCTGCTGAGATCCAGTGTTTCTCCCTAACCTTATGGTTTACCGTACTTGCTGACATCACTGCTTTTCGGATGTCATTCCATGCTGCCTCGGGGTGGGTATCACTTACATGGCTGCCTAACTGTTTTTCTAGATGTTCCTGAAATATACTCTTAGCTTGACTATCATTAAGTAGGACCCTAAGGGGTTTCCTTGCAGCATGTTTCCTACGTCCAGTAAGACGTAGACAGATACGCGCTCGCACTAGAGCATGATCTGAGTCTAAGCATGTGCTCCAGAATGAGCGACAGTCTTCTATCGAGCCCCTCCATCGGTGGCTGATAGCGATGTGATCTATTTGGGTCCAGCGTTGAGACGAATTAGGGGGTCGCCATGTCAAAAGATGTTTTTCCTTATGCTTAAAGTTAGTGTTTGCAAGAAACAGGTGGTTATCTGAGCATAGCTGCAACAGACGGTCGCCGTCATCGGATCTTTGAGCCGCGACACCATAAGATCCATCCAGGTGTCTCTCCCTTTCGTATAGTTTACCTACTTGAGCATTAGTCACCAGCCACTATTACTACATCTGAACGCCTAGCTTTTCGGAGAAGGTCGGAAAGCTTTCTGTAAAACTCATCTTTTACATCATCTGAGCTGCAGTCAGTGGGAGAGTAGGCAGAGACGACGAAGAGGCAACGACGAGTGTCCCTATCTTTTCGAATCCTTACTGTTCCGTTTAGTCGGACAGCACACAAACGACTGTCTACTGGGATCCAGTCTAAGAGAGCTAGTTCTGCCCTAGGACTCAATGCTATACCTAAGCCAGCGAGGCCACGGGAAGCAGCATCAGGGCTTCCAGATACACGAAGCGTAAATCGAGTTGGTTCGTTACTTTGACATGGTGCGGTCAAATGAATGACACTACTAGGATCCTGTGTGCGCGTTTCGGAGACGCAGCACACATCGATGGAGCGAGATTCTAAAGTCCTAGCTAAGGAAGCCTGTTGTCCTATTTGGCACAGTGTTCGGACGTTGAAAGCTCCTACGTGTAGTTTAGAGCGTGGTTTCAGGAGACCAGGAATAACGTTCCGCGTACTCGAATCGTTCGCACTAGCGGGGCGAGGTGATAAAGGGACGTGAGAAGGGTTAGTCGTGGAGATAAGAGAGTTATTAGGAGGTGTAGGAAGGATTTGAATGTGACCAACTTGGTCTCGTGTGCTGTTACGGGTATGAGGGCTGATATCACTTCCCGGTTGCCCACACCGTGGAAGGGTATTTCTTGGGGGACCTGAAAAGGAAATCGGATTAGTGTTGGTCTTAGCGACCTGAGTGCGTGACCGCAGAGCCCAAGGGACAACTGCTTGAGGCCGGTCGCACACGGCCTTTTTGTGGGAAGTTTTTAATGTGTTAGCTCCGTTCTTCAAAGGGCCTTACCGCCGGAGACGGAAATCCGTGGGGTAAGGTGAGGTGTGACATTTTTAGGGTCAACCTTTTCTAACCCCTTCCTTCCTTGTGAGAAGGCAGCATCGCTGCAGATGCTGGTTGTCCGAGGGAAACACCTTACTGCTGTCACACCTCTGTACAGTCAGCAGTACGACTTCGCCCTCAGACCTTGAGTTGCTGCTTTTAGTCTTACCGTTCTCCAATCGACCTGCCTGGCATGGTAGAACCTGCAGGAACTTGAGTTCCAGCCAATATAGCTCGGTTGGGTCATCACGATAGGCAAGCCCGACCACCACGTCAAGGTAGCAGCTACGGTCGGGACGCTAGTAATAAAAACCTAAAAGGAGATAAATAGTTGATGCACCAGTGCTATTGTGAACGATTTGTCATATGAGTTCATCAACCACTGGTCGAGGTCATAAGGTAATTTGGATTTAATAGAAAGACTCAAACCAACAATCAATGACTTCATGTGCTTTCGTTTGGTCGTCCTAACTTCCTTTCAACCCACTACACAAGCATACATCACTCGTCGAGGTAGGTGGTGGTTAGTTATTTAGAATACATATAGACTACATGTGAGCAAACGTTCTGCAAGACACTTGTTTGCCAGTCAAAATAAACGTAACAACCCAAAAGATTTTCTGGACCACAAGACAGAAATTAAGCCAAATGTATAAATGCCTTGGTACTGCCGACGGTGGGGAGAGTCCGCTCTTCCTCCGGAAACGCCCTCACATGGCCACGGGGATACAGCCACTGCCAGGGAAGTCCTACTCAATGCCTTCTCGTTGCGAGGGTGTTGTTTACGAAATTGAGAGGACGGAAGCGAATGTTCGGGCTTTAACCGGATTGGTGGACACGGAAAACCCTGACTCCAAACCAATGGTGCACATGGGCTCTAGGATCCTGTGGTAAAAAATGGCATATGAACCTACTGCTGGTCATCGGATGCCATGGGACTTCATCTCTTAACGTTGCTCTACTGCCTTGTGGATTAAACCTCTAAGTTAAAGGCTCGGGGAGCAGCTTTCTAAGAAAAGCACCTTCTCTGGTTTGGGCGTCCAGGTAGTATTCCAACCCTCACATAAATCGAATGGTGAAGGGTGGCGCATATACATTTGGTGCCTCCTTGTACCGATGTTTGTGTTTAAATAAATAATAAGGAAACTAGGAACACATGAATAACAAAACCACATGCCAAATATACTAGGCCACGTCTTTTAAATTAGACATTTCAATACGCCTGAAGTATTATATCTTATCCATTCAGAGAGAAAATTCCCCTCAATATTAATACTAAAGCAAGTCGAATATCACTAAAGACCTGATCTTTCCAGATGTACGTCAGCGTAGCAATCTTAATTTCTCTTGTAACTGGCTTGAATGCTGTACCATCGAATATGAATTACATAAATAATCTATATAACTCCATGCTATTAAGATTAAATCTAAGCGTGCTTCCGTGATATAATTTAGGTGCAAATCCTGGTTGATTTCTGAAATACGAAATTAAGTAACTCGATCAATCACTTCAAACAGCAGTCCGTGTGACAGAAAAGTTACCTTTCGAAAACCCATATAACGTACCTTACGCTGTCCATGTTCAGTGAGATAGACCTGACCTCCGTATTTCGGCGACTTGCAACAAAGTACGCTGTAAGTAATTCCCAAAAGCCACTTCACTGCACATTCATCCTTGTAATTCGATTTTACATCACCGGAATAGGAAACAATGATCAAAATATGATCTAATATATGTTCAATAAAGCAATCTCTGGTTTCCGGAGGACAGGATAAGAACAAAGCAAACAATAACTTTGATACACGCCGACGAAACACGAACATCAGGGGGTATTTTTCAGCGTCCAGCATACTTTGAAATGCTAATTCCAAAGCCAGAAGAGCAACCGTGAAAGCATCTCCATAGATGTCTGTTTTATTGACTAGAGCTACGTCATTTTTACCAACCAAGTTAAAACATGAATAAAGTAACTTCGAAAGTCTTATACACGGATCAATATTCACCTCTAGATTTGTAGTCGCATTTTTAAAGCAATTTATAACGCTTGGTAATAACTTCATGACCGTAGCATTAAAAGCGCGGCGCCGTGTAGGCAACCTGAAGCTTGCTGCTGCCTTTAGTCCAGACCGCAATGAAGACCATGCGTGCCAACACAAAAGATTACCCCACAGAGAGTCGGACCAATCATTCTTGAGCCACTCGTTTTTTACGTACCTTGCAGTAAACTCAGCGACAAGTCCACTGATCCTTGGAATATTTTCAACTAGATTGGTAAAGCTATCTTTCGTACCCCGAGATATATAATCAAAAAATAACATCTCCACATTCTTTTTGACATTAAGATCAATACTATGCCGGTTTTTGCAATCAAACACCATATTCTTGAGGCAAATAAGCCCCAAAAAACGTCCATCAGCAGATAAACTACCATCGCTAGAGAAAACACACGATGCTATGGCCGAACATATTTTATCACAATTCTCTCCTGATTGAGTGACCAAAGTAAGATGCTGACTTGCAGGCACCATTAAATTTGGATCATCACATGATGCAGAATTAAGTAAGCTAATGATATCGATACTCATCGACACAGTGACAAAACAGAAACCTGGTGCACACACTTAAATGCGACAAACACAGTGACGCAGCCTTCAAAACCCGCTGGTTTCAGGTGATCTATCGACCTATATTATTACTTGCTGTAAAGGTCCAATCGCTTTATGAATATATCTACAGAAGGTGCTGATATTACGTCTTTCAGTAGAGAATTCCGTTAATTCACTTCTCAGTGCGAAGAACGAAACTCCAGAGGTAGACACCAAGCTACAAACTTTGGGGAAATTTGGGGGAAACTCTCTAAGTTAAATGACCTTGACCAATGTTAAGGGGGAATTTTGGGGAAATTTTGGGGTTTTTGTGCCACTTCCCCAAAATTTCTACAAAGTTTACCATAGCGGCTTCCCCGAAATTTCCCCAGAATTTGCCAAATTATCCCCGAAATTGGGAGCTTGTGACGTTTTGACCTCGGCTTTTAAACCTTTTCAGAATGTCCCTTGAATGAACAATCCTAGACGGAAAGAAAAGATAAGACATAATGATATCAAGATCGTCGTTCGGCATACGACAAGCAGATATTAAGTCACTCCGTTCTCTACGGTAAGATAACGAAATACGATGAGATGTCTCACTCTGTCTTCATAAGATAGGCCAGAGAGACTTCTTACCATTTTAGTATTTCGTCGTTGGGCTCGTTCTAGAATATCCGCTCCATACGTGAAACAAGGACTCGACGCTTGAACCTCATATTCCAAATGTGGTCTCACGAAAGTCGGGTATAATAATCTAAACATTTCTTCGTTCAAATAATTAGAAGACCTACGAATACCCCATAGCTTTTTGCAGCTGCAGCTTTACAGTTACTCGTGGTTTTGAGATCGCTGCTTATTATAACTTCTAAATTTTATAGTCCGTTACTATGAGTAACACAACTCCACGTATTGTGTAGTGATATGATTCATCATAGTCATTAAACTGTACCCTCTTGTTAGGATTCACTTCTAGTGACCATCCACCCATCCATGCCACCGATGAGTTGAGATCATCCTGTGATACTATTCTATATGACATACTGTGCATTGGTCTCCAATCTTTATGTCGTCGGCGAAAGGTAGGATGGATGACTTTCCTACAGTTTGTAATTCATTTATAGAGTAAGAAGAGAAAGACACCGAAGATTGTACCTTGGAATACCAACTTTTTATAGGTTCCATGCTGAGTGAGCTCCATTTACCTGTACCCTCTGTCACCTGTCATTTATAAAGTCTTTTATTCTGTCCTTATAATGGATTCCACAGCCCAATCTTCTCTCGCAACGAGTAGATTTGTGAAACATGATAGGTCTTTCCGAAAACCATGTTGTCCCCTGGATAAATGATTATGCCCCTTTAGATAACTCATAACAGCCACCTAAATAATCTTTTCCATTAGTCTTACGACCGCACTGGTTAGACTGACGGGTCGATAGTTACTCTCCTCCTTATACACCAGACTAATTATTGCGTCTTTTTAGTATTTTGGCAATCTGGACTGCCGCAGAGAAATATCAAACAGCACGACTATAGGTTCAGCAATTATATCCGATAGAACATTCATAATCCTAAGGTGAATATCTTCACGACCACTGGGCCTATCAGGTTTGAGATGCTGAAGTAGTCTCAAGACAGTACCTTTTATCCACTGTTGCCAGATATGTGAAGTTGGCAAAAACGTAGATTGTGAAATGTTTAATCAATTCCTTCCTTTAAGCTCCATTCAGATTTGTTTCCGTTTATGCTCACACAATCTGTATTTTAGCAACCGAAGAGACTGTCTTCACATATCAACAACAGAACAAGAACCGAACCGTGGGTTCCCAGTTTAATTATGAGAGAAAACGCATCTCAAATAATAAAGGAACATCCGGTCATTTACTTCTGGAGGGTCTCCACTATTGAGCCTCCTCTCAAGGAAGGACTAGGCTCAGAACTGTGAAGTCTGAGATTAAATACTGATAGAATTAACCAATTTAAATACATAAAATGTGGCAGCAAAAGAAGGAGTGCAATATAAAGTCTTGAGGTTAATCACACCATATTTAGCTACCCCATTGACTACGATATTCAGGATGGTATTCAGTCAGAGTGGTTTACCTACGAACTGGAGTAATGCAATTGTCGATGCATTTCACAAGGCAGGATAAAAAATTCAAATGAACTACAGACCGGTGTTACTTTAAGCCGATGATGTCGGAATTCGAAGGCAAAAGTACCTGAGGTGCAGATCAACTTACACTTCAGGCCAACTTAGAAGTCTTGGTTAGTTTTTCTAGAACTTGTGTAATCTTCGTTGCACACTGCTGGCACAAAAGCACACGTCCGTTGGAAAGCGTGAGCGTTTATATATAAATCAAGCATGTTTGAAATATATGATGCATGCAGTGGAAGCTGAGGTCTGGATTCTGGATTCGAGTACACAGAGCTGGGTGACAAGAACCAATAAGGACGTAGAGTTGACTCACGGCTGCTTGTACCTTAAGAGTGACGTTTACCATGTCGAGTACAAGTATGCCCACTGTATTATTTGCAACATTATTACTATACAAACTATGGTAGTGCTTTCATTCTTCAAGCCCCTGTTTAAAAATTGACGTGGATATCTTGGTATAACTATAGGGGCAGGTGTCCGTGTAATCTCAGAACTTCGAGGTTCACCTCACAAAGAGTAGCTTGGGCAGTTGTACAACATTACTCCATCTATCCACTGATGGAGAAGTGACCTGATTCGATGAATGGAATATTCAGAAATAGTTTTGGACCTGATACACCTCCTCTTTTCTCGCATAGGACGCCACGAGGGTTCAAATGTCAAGAACTAACGAAATACCTGTGGCATACAGATTTCTACATCGAGTCATCAATACTTCGAACCTATTAACAGAATAAGTGCTTTTCGCAACTTTGATTTTCCTACAAAATATAGGACTAGGCACTCACGGAAGCTTGCTAGAAAATAACGGACACATTCATCTGACCTTTTGCCTCAATAAAAAATCCGAAATCTAAAATTGTATCAACACTCAGTAACATTGAGTTACAGATACATCGACTTTTGATATATTTATGCAGGTGATAATCAGTCATCTAACATTTCCACGATTGATTATGTTTGATTTACCGTGAAGATGTCACGGATACTTAAAGATTGAGAACTTTAATTTATGAAACGTCGTCTTAAGCGAGGATCACAAATTTAGTCAATTAAGAATTCAGGGATTATTTGGACAACATACTTGAATTGTAGGTTGAGTTATCGCACTGTACAAAATTTGAGTTGACTAGTTACCGTGATCTGTTTCGAATGATTTACTGAAAGCCTTCAACAAGCGGCGTGTCTTGTAAACTAATAAAGTTAAGGTCACCGGGGAAGACCCATAAAGCCACTTATTTTAGGAGTAGATTTAACACTGCAACCCAAGTAAAATTTCTTTTTTTTTCCACTCCAAAATTTAACAATAACGTTTAAGCATTTAAGGTTAAATCTCCCGTGATTATTATGGTAAATGCATTAACCATCTAATCTGTTCGATAACATAAACAAGTGAGCCAAAAACCTACTCAATCGCTACTCTATTCATCTTCATTACCAAATTTGAAGTATTTGCGGCCGGTTAGCATTAGTCACTTAAGTTCAACATGAAATTTGTAATCACATGGCTGCAGCAGACATGTCCACAGGTAATTCGGAGTTTCACTTTTCTCATTGCTTATCACAAGATGGTGGAATTCTAAGAACAAACAGTCGTCGCATAATCCAGAAGTGATAAGAAAAACGTTTAATACATGTACGGGTAAAATTAATAAAGCTAATTTCATCTTTAATGCTTCCTAGTATGTTTTAAATAGTGGGGACGTAAATTGCAAAAATATGATCTCATCGGATTACACTTCTCTTTACAATTATCCCACTACCAGAAACTTCATGTTTTTGTTTGACCATGTCGAACATTTCGGTGTAAAATTGATCAAAATGCGGGGCCAGATAAATGTCACAGAGCCCTATCCAAATCATCCGGCAGTTGCATCGCTGAATACCTAACAGATCATCGATCCACGTAAAGGGCAAGGACAACCAACGCGCATCAGTTAATCGTATGCCATGGACTGGTGCATGCGGTGGTGGTCTCGCCATTTTCTACACTCATTCTTACCAGCACATCTTTATAATAACGTTCTTTGTGTTGTACAGTCTTCAGAGCAGCCATAATGCTTTGATATGTCGACGGACTAATCCAAGTTAGATGCTGATCGCGAGGTGTAACTTCGATGTTTTCTGCTAGTTACACCATCCTCATCTACCTCGAGTGGGCCTACAGTCATATAGATAATTTACGTCGATGGTCTACAAATATTTGTGAATGTAAGTTTATAAAGGTTAACCCCACGCACTTAATCGCATTTTCTTGTTTTTGACACTGCTAAAGGATCAATTACGTTGTTTTTTTATTGTTAAGGTTAGTAAAAAACACAACCGCAAGCGTTTTCAATAAAGGTTTTCATTGCTTAGTAATAATTATAAATGCGTGGATTTCCTACAAATATAGCTGATAATAATCGTATGAAAGGAAGATCATATAAAAAACATGCACTCTAGATTCATTTTCCAATACATACGAACGAAAGTAGTAATAATCAATGCATCCACAGTTTGCATACGTAGGTTGAACAAGCTGAAAATCTCGAATTTCGAAGTCAAGCATTCATAATTTACTGCAACTACTTCATCTCACAAATTTAACAATTTGATGACACGATCTCAAGATCTCTTCAGTTTAGGAAATCTTTGAACTATGATGAAGAATGAACATCAAATATATAATTTTTGTGAAGACATGAGTTGTGAACAAGTGTAGTACAACTTCCAACTCATTTCTGCTATGTCAAAGTGGACCGCATCAATCTTACCTGAAGTGCACAGATAAAGGATACGATGATGTCAGTGAAACGGCTTTATAAACAATTCGTTATTAACAAATCTAGTCAAACTACAAATCGGTAAGAAGAGTAAAAGGAAGTCGGGTATTGAAAATTGGAGTTTGAAATATTACTTATGTAGCTAAGTCTGCACCATCAAGCAAA